CAAGATTCCTTTCAACCATTGCCGGAAAAAGAAGGGAACACGCCTATTTTCTTTCCTCCGGGACGCATTGTTTTCAACTATCCGCAGCAGCTGAATACGGCATCAGCCTCGCCAACTGCGAAAATCCCTAGAGGCGACAGTCGTTGCGCGGAGAAATTGCCAAGTGATCGGATGGCAAAGGTCGAAGGCGAGTTCCGCCGCAAGTGGATTCCTAGCGTCAAGCTATTCCACTGCACGTAACTAACAGTTCCCCGTTGCTTTTTCTTCTCTTTTTATGAGCTTTTATCGTCAAAATTATTTATAATACAACGTGTGCAGAATAACTAGCGCCACGTTTAAGCGGTTTATGAAACATCGTTATTAACCTAATGGTCGTGTAAGCGAATCCTTGCGGACTATACGGGGAATGAATTGTTTTAAAATAATTAAACAAGCAGCTGCAGGGACTTTTGAATTGCAGCTGGCAATTATTATTATTTATTTCTTACTGCGGCAATACGATCGAATAAATAAAAATAACCACGGCAACAGCCTAACGTGAGCAAGTTAAGCGAGTAGCTGGAGACTGTTTTGTAGAAGACACTGCAAATGGTAAAATTGAAGAATTTTGCTTTTCCATTGGGAAATGTTCTACGTAGCAATGAGAACACTGCAGCGTAGAATTTAAATGCAATTTCTTTTTGCAAATAATTATTGACAATGCTGGAACATGGTGTCATAATGTCGCCTGTGTGGAGGAAATTTAGTTAATTGTTTCTTCGCTCTTGTCCCTGCCACCGACCTAAATCAATGCAATTCTTTTCTTTTTATTTTTCACGAATTTCGACTACGTTAACGCATACGTTTTTCTCTTCCCTCTTGTAAAACGTGTCTCCTCGCACTCGTGTTTTCTACAATTTTATTCCTCGGTTTTGGACTTTTTACAAGGGACACGAGCAAAATAAGTGGATGGCCAGACTGAAAAATATCCACTGACTAGTCCTGTATAGTTCTTGTTTGAAATGGTTTGACCAAATTACCTGGAGGATAGTCTACAGGAAAATGTAATTTATCTGACAATATGCAAATACCAGTGGCAATTAAAAAATAACTATGTCTAAGCAACTTGTCATATTGCATTTTTATATATAATTACTATACAAGAAGATGTAATTCATCTGACAATATGCAAATACCAGTGGCAATTAAAAAATAACTATGTCTAAGCAACTTGTCTATAACAATACAATATTGTGTACCATTTGTTATATTATATTTGTATAATTGTATAGATAACCAAATCAGACTGAAAAATATCCACTGACTAGTCCTGTATAGTTCTTGTTTGAAATGGTTTGACCAAATTACCTGGAGGATAGTCTACAGGAAAATGTAATTTATCTGACAATATGCAAATACCAGTGGCAATTAAAAAATAACTATGTCTAAGCAACTTGTCATATTGCATTTTTATATATAATTACTATACAAAAAGATGTAATTTATCTGACAATATGCAAATACCAGCGGCAATTAAAAAATAACTATGTCTAAGCAACTTGTCTATAACAATACAATATTGTGTACCATTTGTTATATTATATTTGTATAATTGTATAGATAACCAAATCAGACTGAAAAATATCCACTGACTAGTCCTGTATACTTCTTGTTTGAAATGGTTTGACCAAATTACCTGGAGGATAGTCTACAGGAAAATGTAATTTATCTGACAATATGCAAATACCAGTGGCAATTAAAAAATAACTATGTCTAAGCAACTTGTCTATAACAATACAATATTGTGTACCATTTGTTATATTATATTTGTATAATTGTATAGATAACCAAATCAGACTGAAAAATATCCACTGACTGGTCCTGTATACTTCTTGTTTGAAATGGTTTGACCAAATTACCTGGAGGATAGTCTACAGGAAAATGTAATTTATCTGACAATATGCAAATACCAGTGGCAATTAAAAAATAACTATGTCTAAGTAATTTGTCTATAACAATACAATATTGTGTGCCATTTGTTATATTATATCTATATAATTGTATAATTGTATATTTGTATAATTGTATACATAATTACTATATAATCAACAATTATGTGTTATAATCGCATATTGCATTTGTATTATCATACAAAATAATACTCGTGTTTTCTACAATTTTATTCCCCGGTTCTACATTTTCCAAGGGACACAGGCGAAAGAAGTAGATGACCTGACTGAAAAATATCCACTGACTAGTCCTGTATACTTCTTGTTTGAAATGGTTTGACCAAATTACCTGGAGGATAGTCTACTGGAAGATGTAATTTATCTGACAATATGCAAATACCAGTGGCAATTAAAAAATAACTATGTATAAGCAAATACTGTATATCATTTGTTATATTATATTTGTATAATTGTATTATCGTATATTACATTTGTATATATAATTACTATACAATCAACAATTATGTGTTATAATTGCATGTTGCATTCGTATTATCATACACAATAATAGAAATACACTTCCTTCGAAACGCGTTATCTAGCATAGCGAATGTCATAAAATGTACAGGACATTGTGGCTCCTTTAATTCGCAGTTATTTCACTGACGCGACCGCGGTCCTCCGCCACCGAATTCAACCCTCTTTTATGTCCTCGCCATCCAGTTCGTGAAATTAGTCGTAATATCATTGGGCTTCCTCGATGAGATCGCTGATATAAAAGCGCGCACCAAGATTATCGAACCTCGATACCGAGCTAATTGCGGATCCGGGCTTTTATTTCGATTGTTCGGCACATGGAATTTTTGCCTGGCCGACAAATCGCTGAATTTTACACGCCAGCATTCTTTTGCGTACGGGGTAATTTAATAACGTTAATAAACTGACGAGTTACGAGTTGTAAGTTATAGATTTGCCTTTACGATTTTTCAGTTAATGATAAAATAATGGGAAGTCAGGGAATTTGGAAAATTTAATTACGAAATTTTTATCCTTTCCAATAAAAATAATTTGTTGTGCCATGACAGTGAATATTTTTATGCTATGTACAATATTACGCTACTATTATTTTCTATTGTATCGTTATATTATATTGTTACAGATACTATGCTATGTTACTGGTATTGGTGGCTTGAAATTTATGGCTTGTGGATCACTGTGTCTACCAGTAATGAGCCTTGTTGGAAATTGGAAATCTTTACGTAAATATTTAATGATACAATTGAAAATATCAAGGAAAATGTATATAAATTTATTACAATATACCACCTGCTGCCTGTCGATATTATTAATCAATAAATTATTTTACAAATCCCAAGTTATTTTTCAATAATTATCGTTAGGGTGTAGGAGCAGTGTATTGGGTTGGCAACTATGTAATTGCGGGTTTTGTCATTAGGTGGTAATAATTACATAGTTGCCAACCCAATATGTATCACAAAACACAGTTGGCACGTATTACACGCGTTTTGAAGATTTTATCACAGACCTGTTTGATTAAAGCTGGCGTTTAAAATTATCAAATGTCGAAATATAACAAAATAAAAATAAGCAGAATAAAATAAAATACCAAATAGACGAGGGTACAATCCCTGACTGCGGAAAGGTAAGCGAGGCCAGGTGATAAATTCGAATATAGACGCGAATATCTGAATAAAAATTTTTAAAACCGTGTCAAGGGAAAGTAGCAAGTTACGTTGTAAACTAAATCTGAAATTCTGTTATTATATAGTTTCCTTTCCAGTTTCAACCACGACCAATTTATTACGTATAGCAATTCATAAATTGTGCGATTGAATAATTATTATGTGGTGTCTATAACGTGAATGTTGTATCAAACTGTGATATGTTTTGGTGCATTTGCGGAATTTTCATTATGTTTCGACGAAACGTCCGATTCGATCAACCGGATTCCTGTTACGTAACGAAATCCCTTTTGTTGCTGTACATATACAGACGTAGCATGAAATTTAACAGCGATAAAATCTATTCTAATTGGAAATATAAATTGAAATAATGGGCGCAGCTGAGGGCGGATAATTCTTTTAGGAAATTTCATACACTCGTTCACTAAATACCATTTGTCGAGGACGATGTATAAACTGAGAAAATATCGTGGGAAAGTAAATTAGAAGTTTGAATATTTAGTGATATCGTGATCGATGAGATATTTCTTTCGGGCGTACATTATTAATTTAGCGTTTTCAGTAACCCAGTTTAACGTGTGTTCATCCGTCATTTAATTTGGAACAATGAGCTCCAAAGTTTGAATTATTAAACACAATGAGAATTAGATTTTCCGTGGCAAAGGAAAATTAGATTGTCAAAAAGAAAAAAAAAATATAGCTAAAATATTTTCAGATGCCAACCACACGTTCATTTAATTAGTGTTGGCACTTTGGTGTTTCGACTTGAGGCTAATAATTAGTTACGCCGTTGTTAATAGAAATGTCATCCGACAATCAAGTACTTCAAAACTATTTCATTCATTTATCAACGGCGTCCGTAATGGCATGGCGAATGTAGTCCGCTATAATTGCTTCTTCAGTTCCAACTAATTAAGTGCAGCCTCATTACAGTTCTCGATCGAATCGTTGGTACAACTGCACGAACGAACGTAATCGAAACGAACAGAATCCATCGAACGACTTGGCTCCATTTTTTCCCTCTTGGGCTGGTCGAAATCACATTTCATTTCACGTTACTAGCGCGGATTTATTAACTTATTACTCCATTTTACGTGATACGTAATTACAACTTTTGATAATTAACATTCCAATCAGTTGAATCAAAAAATTCATTTCATCGGTTCCCAACTCAATTGCAGGTTCTAACTTCCAACTCACATTCAGTATGTCGCTAGTATTAGTGTACTTACTATCTGGATGACAGCGTTACAACGTCATATATTTACGAATTATAAAAATCTGAAGCAAAAGGAAGCGTTGACCATACTTGAAACAAAAAAAAAAAAAACAAGGAAAGAATAGCAACACATGTCAAACATGGCTGTTGAAACGAGCAAAACTCTCACAGAAAGGAGACTAAAAAGAGAACATCCCACTGACCTCAGTAAAGAAATAAAATAGTCAATCTTAAAGATGGTATCCCGCTGAGGTTAGGTTAGCCATCCACATGTTACTTAGCAATAAGGCTAGAAACATTTACCAAATGTCCAGCTGGACAAATTGTAAAGTACAAATTAAATAATAATAAAAAAAAGAAAACTTTGACTGGTTAAAATAGACAAGCTTGAAGATGGTATCCCTGTGGGAGTAGCCATCCACATGTTATTCAGCAATTAAGTTAGAAACATTTACTGAATATCCAGCTGGACAAATTGTAAAGTACAAATTAAATAATAATAAAAAAAAGAAAACTTTGACTGGTTAAAATAGACAAGCTTGAAGATGGTATCCCTGTGGGAGTAGCCATCCACATGTTATTCAGCAATTAAGTTAGAAACATTTACTGAATATCCAGCTGGACAAATTGTAAAGTACAAATTAAATAATAATAAAAAAAAGAAAACTTTGACTGGTTAAAATAGACAAGCTTGAAGATGGTATCCCTGTGGGAGTAGCCATCCACATGTTATTCAGCAATTAAGTTAGAAACATTTACTGAATATCCAGCTGGACAAATTGTAAAGTACAAATTAAATAATAATAAAAAAAAGAAAACTTTGACTGCTTAAAATAGACAAACTTGAAGATGGTATCCCACTGGAGTTAGCCTTCAATATGTTATTCAGCAATTAGGTTAGAAAAATTTACCAAATGCCCAGCTGGACAAATTGTAAAGTACAAATTATATAATAGAAAAAAAAGAAAAATTTGTACTGCTTAAAGTAGACAAACTTGAAGATGGTGTTCCACTGGGGGTAGCCATCCACATGCTATTTAGCAATTAAATTAGAAAAATTTACTGACATATGTTATTCAGCAATTAAGTTAGAAAAATTTACCAAATGTCCAGCTGGACAAATTGTAGAGTACAAATTGTATAATAAAAAAGAAAATATTAAAAAAATTTCCCTCTACGTGCCTTTTGCACAGTGTACGAAAAACTTAGCCAGCTTCGTCCGCCACCCAACGACAATTCCACTTCCAACTGAGAGGAACGAGAGGAATAGCATTTCCAAAATTACCAACTGCCCAACTTCACCATCATTCGCTGCACTACATTTCCATCTCGTTATACAACCAGATAACGTCTAATCGTAAGCCTAACGTTCAGCAAGCACAGCTTCGAATTAACATTTCAATTAGTTGGCGCTGTACAGGTTCGTCCCCTTTCGCGAGAAGGAAATCCATCGTCCGGTTGAATCTGCCTCTTCCCTCTCTTTTCTCTCTCTCTCTCTCTCTCTTAAATTTCTAATTATACACGCTTTTTCCGGAAATCGTCGCATCGTTATTCAACGACTCGGTGCCGGGGTCGGCTCGTTCAACTTCGGCCTACACGCGACTAACGCGACCGTATTACGAGCGTGATTACGAAAGTTGTCAAGTTGATTAAACGTTGTGCCTGGACGCAAGTTGCCTCAAAGGGGTAATCGCGCGAGGTGTCCGCCCGGGGGCATGGCCGAAACTTTCTTAAACTGACGAGATTGCAAGAGTGATTTTCACAAAGAGACGCAGGAAAGCCGGGGTGAAACGGAATTCGACGACGTTGTTTCGTTGACGACAGACGCGATATTGCCGCGACAACGTACGACTATGATCATCAGGCAGAGGCGGTAGGTTCACCAACGCGTGTTCCTATTTTTCTCTGGCCCCAGCTATGTTGGCCTGTGACAACCGTGGAAAGTTTGCCTCCTTTCGCATTGGCGAGTCGAGTTCAGCTATGACGTTTACCTTGCGCCTTACGTGCTCTGCCGAGGAGAAAGTTTGCAGAGATAAGAACGAGGAGGATTTGTTACGATCGGTGTTGGAGAAGATGAACAGCGGTTGGCTCGACGAAGCTGAGAATATGAATGATTTTCAAGCGAAATATTTCTTTTCTCACGATATCGGCTTAGAGATGTTGGATTATGTTTTAGAACGTAAGAAAAAGGAATTGCGTTTGAAATGAAAGTATTTATCGTGATCTTATTGTTAAACTTCCATGAGCGAGTGTGTTTTAAGATCGTCGATTAACTGTTTTTTAAGGAGTTAGCTGCTATTGACGAGTATACTCGTCGCGAAGGAATGGCAATATTTTGTGATACGACCAGCTCTGTCGGTAATAAAATTAGAAAATAACCCGCTCATTTTGTTACAACTTCATTCTATATTACAGTTCCGCCGTTCTATGTCTGACGAGTATACTCGTCGCGAAGGAATGGCAATATTTTGTGATACGACCAGCTCTGTCGGCAATAAAACGTTCGTTTCGTTGCAACTTCATTCTATATTACAATTCCGCCGTTCTATGTCTGACGAGTATACTCGTCGCGAAGGAATGGCAATATTTTGTGCTACGACCAGCTCTGTCGGCAATAAAACGTTCGTTTCGTTGCAACTTCGTTCTATATTACAATTCCGCCATTCTGTGTCTGACGAGTATACTCGTCATCGCTTACATTTTAGGTACACACTTTTCAAAGAGACCGCAACAGCTAACTGGTAACAAAAGTATCGTAGGATTGCAAGTTAACGTTATCTAAAATCACTGTGCATGAGACTATTAAGAAACATAAACGACAGGCAGAATTTCACTATGAAAATCAGTATTTCTTTTTATTTCAACGATTATTCGCTTTCGTTCCGTTCAATTGTGCGTTTTTTGGCATAAAGCTATTTGAACCAATACGTTGCTTCCTAACACGTAAAAGAATCTGACAATAATTTTGACAATAATCCATCGTATTAGGACCACGTTCTTACCAATAAATCTGCACAGTGTGTCACGAAGGAATAATATTCAACTCTTTCAGGAATTCTTTTTCAATTACACTCAAACATTTCCCTTTACCAATCGTCAACGATAAAATCATTTTCTCCTCTTTTTATAAAAAATATTCAATGCGTCAGAAATTGATGAACGAAAGATGAATTTCACGAAGACAAATATATATTTATTAACAAACTGTTGAAGTATCGATCGTGAGAGGATTAAAAAAACAACATAAGATAATCTGCTCGCAGCAAAATACCAAACTAACTCTCTAATTACTCGCAGTACGTATTGTTCGTGGATTAAGAGAGACACGTGCTCGACCATCTCTTCTAATTCGAAACTGATTGAACCTCCGCATTCCACCATGATTCACCGATCGGAAACAAAAAAAAGGACAAGAAAAAAGAGAGAGAAAAGGAAAAGAAAACGAAAAACACGGAAAGGAAGGAAGAAAAACGAAGGGAAATAAAAGAAAGACGTTGGAAACGACGAGAGAGGCACGGAAGCATGTAGCGGGGCGTGTTCGCGTGCCGCGCGGCACTAAACCATCGATCGGCGTAAGAAAGGAACGGGAAATGGACGGGAACACCGTGGACGCATCTGCAGTCGGAGAATTAAAGCTCGGCTCAAGGTATTCACGGAATTCGCACGTTCGCGCGTAAATACCTGTCGGCGGCGCGTGTAAACCTTTACGCTGCTGGAAATTGACTAAGTTTCGCGGATGGAGGGGCGCGGCGATAGCTGGCGGAGCGAATTGCTCGGCAATTTATAGCCACGCTATTTAATAAGCAGCCTCGACGCCGACGTTCACGTCGCCTGAACCGAGTCCAGGCTACGCCACGCCGGAATCGTTACCAGCTCGTTTTCCGATTTCATTTCCGCCCTTGTAAACCCCAAGCGCTACTTACAATCCAGTTCGTATCGGCCTGCAAATTTCCACCGACGTATCCACTGGGCTTGAGAACTTTCCTGACGATCGAAATCCTAAGCTTTTTATCCAAATTGCCTGACGATCGAGGGGAAGACAAACGAGCGTGTCAAGCAACATAATTAATAACAACAATAATAAAGATCTTCGCCATAAGACAATGGCGGAATCGCGATGCAACGAAGAAGTTGGTCGGATTTGTTGAAAGAAGAGAACGACTCTGCCTCCAAAAGCGTAAGCTCTGGTTGGCCGTTCGTAGTCTTTTTCGAGACAATTTTCAACTGGATTGCGCGAGGTCGTTATCATCGCGATCGTCAGAACCAATTAAAACCTTATCAGTGGAACTTTCTGAAGGCTGTAAATTTGAATTTAGGACAATGGAAATAATGCAAAGTCGGTGAATAACTGTCGCATAGTTTAAACCAGTCTGCCAGGACATTGGTAAGAGTTAAATGAAAACTGGATGAGGAGCTTTAACCATCGTTGACCGGCCATTGCTTTCCAATTTAAACGTACGTAGCGGAAAGGACAGGTCAATTTGTGCCGAATTAACGAAAGCGGCGTGTCACGCAAGCCGAAGCGTGCAATCTGCTCGCTGTAAAAATGTTTTGAAGCTGGACAGGCGGTCAGAAAGTTGGCATTTCCACGTCACGCGCGCAAGCAGTGACAACAGTGTCTAATTACGACAATGTCTGGTTGTAATTAGAGCGATTATTGTTAGGTGCAATTGTTTGCATTGTTGCAAGAGAAAATGAAATAAAATATATTTATAATACTATGGATGTAATTTTACGTACGAAACTTTTGCAAGATATGTTGCTTGTTATACAGGGTGGTCGGTAACTGGTGGTACAAGCGGAAAGGGGGTTATTCTACGCGAAAAAAGAAGTGGGAAATATAGAATAAAAATTTTTCGTTCGAGGCTTTGTTCTCGAGAAAATCGACTTTGAATTTTCGCTCGGTACGCGTGCACTTAATAAAATGCACTGTATAAAATCTTCTGAAATTTCATTAACTCGATGCAGCTAGTCTCTTTTAGTCTTTTTCTACTTTTGAATAATAACACGAAGTACGAGTATTTATTTAAGATTTTCTGTTTATTATTTTAATTTATTTTTTATTTTTTATTTATTTATACGAATCGTTGTAATTGTGTACAGTTAGATTTGATTAATTTCCACTGTAGAGATAACTGTTCTTCGTAATTGCCTGGCTTTCGCGATTTCATTGTTTTGTCTTTTCTGCTTCTCTAATTTGCAAAAGTAGAAAGTAAAAGTCCGGTAATTTCGTGATTAATAACCAAACACTTGTTGCTCGTTAGAAGATAATATTTAGTATACGCCGTTAAGAAAAGTCCATTAACAGTTAATCGTAACGAAGTCAGCTTCTCTCGAAGCTAAAGTTGCTGGCTCTGAAGTCAACAAGTGTATAATGTCGTTTCGGTAAACACATTAACTCTGCGAGTTACGAAAATACGCGTTTTTTCCTCCTTTTTCCTACAAACTTGCCGCCTATAAAACTTAGCTACAAAACACGAAGGATGCAACACGAAGAATA